ATTAATGACAGATTTTTCATTTTTGGGTGAACTAACCCTTTAAGAGTTTGATTTAAGTTTGACTAAAACAATTATTTGCCTTTTTAAAATGTTATGTAAATGCTTTAAGTCAGACTGAAACTGTAGCAAAATTGAAATTGACTGCAAAATTCGGACTAACATATATGCACTACCATGCAATGGTTTTGAGGCAAATAAATACCTTTAAAGACATTTATAATGTTACAAACGTTTTCTATTTCAAGTGAATTCTGTTCTTTTGAACTTTTTATGTATCACGGTTTCCACAAAAAATATTAAGCAGCAAAACTGTTTTCAACATTGATAATAAGATTAAATGTTTCTCAAACACCAAATCATTAAGAATGATTTCTGATGGATCATGTGACTCTGAAGAATGGAGTAATGACTGCTGAAAATTCAGCTTTGCAATCACAGGAATAATTTACATTATTAAATGTTTTCAAATAGAAAACCGTTCCAAAAACATAAAAAATCTCCAAACTTTCTCCAAACATGTTGTGTAGATGGGGCAAATATCATCTCGTGATAAAAAGTTACTTTCTGACACTGTTTTCTTTTACATTTGCAGAGTCTATGCTCAATCTGCCATATTACATGCCAGAGCCCAAAAGTATTGACCAGTTCTTCAAGAGAAGACCTCGTCCAGAGGGTCGTGCCATGGCTTTGCTTAAGTATGAGATCAAGTTTATCACTAATGAACTAATTTATCTCCTGTATACATTCATACAGTGGAAATAACCAATATAATCTTTTTTTTTCACTTGCCCTCAAGGTCTGCCAATTACCAGGCTTGTATTTTAGAGAGCACTACACAATCACCTCCAGATCAAGCCACAAGATCTCAGCACATGCCTGAGCAGGACTCAAGCCCTCCAACAGAATCATCTCTGGATAACCAGTCCTCCACTATATCCCTACCTCTAGCAGACACAGCCACCAGCACTCATCAGGACAATCGTACCAATGATAGCGACTCACAGACCTCAAACGAAGCAGAAGTAGAACATGACATAAGCACTGATGAACCCAAACCTGTGGGTCAAGAGAAAGAAACTCCCATTGAGCAAGAAACTGAGGGAGCTAAACGTCCAGAAAAGGACCAAGTAAAGCAACAGGCCTCAGTTGATCAAGCCCAGACTGCTGCTCAGATGCTCAAACCTCGCAAGGATAAACTAGCCAGACTAAAAGAGCTTGGTCTAGATCCTCCTCCTGTGGCGAAGTTGTGTGCAGATGATGGGGCTTTTGTCCAGCTGGAGCCACCTCAGGAAAACCCAGGTGAGATTTTTGGATTATAACTTTTTAAATGTCCTTCACCCTTTTCCACAGTTGATGATTGATTTTGTGTGTGTGTGTGTGTGTGTGATATAGCTCTGAAAGCACTACAAGAACGCTTCATGAAGCACATCCAGCCTGCTCCTCGCCCTAAAAGAGAGCGCACATTGCAGCTTAATGTGGTGAGGAAAGATAGTGCCCCCTCAGGACAGGAAGAACTGCACTCTGAATCAATCACAATAACTGTCAATGAGGGAGAGGATGAACCTGCAAATGTCAAACCAGGTACAGTCACTATTTTTATCACAGCGCTTTGCGCACAGCAGTTTTAATATGTGTATTCATTATTCCTTGTTTGCATTTTTGTAGGAGAGAAACTGGTACTGTTGAAGTCTCGCTTGCAACAAGCCATGGCCATCCGCAGGAAGGAGGAGAGGGAGCGCAGAGCTGCTCTGCATCGTCTTGACAACGAGGATTGTGAGGAAGAAGAGGAAGCAGAGATGACTGAGTCAGAGGATGAAGAGGTACTAGAAATTGGCATTACTTTTGGGTGTTCTTGTGTAATAATTTCTCCAGATCTACTACTCTTTAACACAACTTTTCTCATTTTATAGTCATCAGTTTAAAATTTTTTTTTTCCCATTCCTTTTTTTAGGGTGTTGATGAATTGTTGGGGGATGGTGGTGATGAAGAGGAGGGAGAAGAGGTGGTGGACAAAGAGGAAGGTGAAGATGACATTTCAACGAAAACATGCCCCTCCCCAGGCTTCAAAAGTCCCTCTCCAACTCCAACGGACACTGATGGAACATTGATGCTTTTTGCCGGCAACTCCTGTTCCCGCACAGGGTATGTGTATGTTTCCTAATTGGGCTGCAACACACTCTGTAGTCCATACTAACTGAATGTCTTTTTCTGTCCAGGGATGGAGTAAGAAGATTAGGCACATCTGGCCATGAAGCTGACAATAAAATGGGTGAGTGCGTATGGATATTAATATGATGTTGCTAAAAAGAACATTATTTTGTGTATTTGGTG